TGCGCAGCCTGTCCCCAGCAGCCTGTCCCTGCGGCCAGGGAGGAGCAAAGATGGCACGGGCCCCAGACCCCAGGAAGGAAGCTGCTCCCGTCCCCACCTGCCTCTGCCCAGTCCCCACCTGCCTCTGCCCGAGGCCAGGCCCACGCTTGGCCCAGAGGACATTTTCCACCGATGGTCTCGAGCCAGCCTCACCTGAGCATGTTCCCCTCCCCTAGTGAGCGGCCCGGGCGTGCCAGCTGCCGCCTTTCCCAGCAAGGTGTGCACCATTCCTGCGGCACCCCCAGCTCCTGCCCGACTGCCAAGCCAGACGCCTGCGCCCTGCAGCCCAGAAGGAGGGCTGTGCTTCCACCTCACTGGTGGGGAAACTGAGGCCCAGAGAGGGTGACCGACTTGCCCGAGGTCACACAGTTGGAAAGTGGTGGGGCAGGAGCTGACCGCCTGTTGCCCAGCAGCCCCAGGCTGTCCCTGGCGCCTGAAGTATTTCGCCTCCCTCTCCAGAGCTGAGCCCCTCTCTCTGCCGGCACAGGAAGTGAGAAGCCTGTGACTCAGCCGCCCCTCTCCCTTGGCCTAGCGTGGGTTTCCGCCCCACCGTGGGCCGGGCTCTGTGGGCTTGTTCCTGAGTCTGTGTCATTTTGAGCTGATGGGGGAGGGGGAGCTGGCCTGGGTGGGGGCTGGGGGCTGGCCTGGAAGCTGCCCCCTCCCCCCATGGCCAGCCAAGGCTTCTCGTCAGTCACGTGGTCCCAGCGGTGGCTCCTCAGGAATGCAGGGAGACCACATCTGGCCGGATGGCGCTGCCACCTCCCCCTCCTGGCCACCCGCCTCCCACGTGTGCGCCTGTTCCGCTGAGATGGTGGCCGGGCCCAGAGCTCAGCTGCGGTGCCTTTTGTGGAGTCATTTCCTCTCCCTGCTACTGTCCCAGGTCCCTGCCTCCCCTCCCCGGGCCTGGAGGGCTCTGAGCAGTGGGAGGGGATTTCTCCGAGGCCTGGGCCTGCTTCCTGCCCTGGCCGTCCCTGGGCCCTCATCCCTGGCTGTCTCTCCTGGGAGAGGCTCTGGAGCTAGTGGTGGCGCGGCTGGACTTGGGGCTCCTGGGTGCCCCCAGCTGGGGAGGATGCTCCAGAAGGGAGGGGGCCAGCAGGGGGCCAGGGAGTCGTCCACTCAATGCCCAGCTCAATGCCCAGCGCCTCACCAAGGCCCGGGGGTCGCAGGTGCAGGGAGCACAGCAGAGCAAGGAGTGGCCACTGTCACCAGTCTTCGGGCCYGTGGTGGGGCCGACCCCAGCTGTAGACCCAGCTCTGCCTCCCTCCCCAGCAGCAGGGATCTCTCCCACCCCTTCCTCCTCGCCCATCAGCCGGCCCAGGATGCCCTGGACGTCCAGCGGGTATGGTGGTGAAGGTGAAGGTGGGGTGGCCTCACTGCAGGTCCACCGCTGTCCCTGGCATCATGGGCTGGCTCCTTTGGTGGGACACAGTGACCAGGCTTCCTGGGAAGACAGCGGCCCCCACCCCTCAACCCTGGAGTCCAGCTGAGTGGCTCCAGGCTTGGGGAGGAGGGGACATTCCAGACAAGCCTGGGGAGGGCTGGGGTTTTGGGGGCAGAGGAGGGAGGACAAGAGGAAGGACAGCCCGGCCTGAGTCTCTTTCCCTGCCTGGGACATGGGGACAGTCCTTTGGGGGATTAAGTGGTATTTTACTAAGGACGTGGGGTTGGCTTGCCTGAGGTCACCCCCAAGGTAGTCAGGGAATGTCCCCTCCCCCTTCCCTCCTCAGCACTGGAGGAGAGAAGTGGGGGGCCCACGAGCCGGGCGCAGCCTGCGGAGGGGCATTCTTGAAGACACTCAACTTCCTGCCCTGAAGGTGTCTCTAAGGTGACCCCACCAGGTCCCCTTCAGCTCACCATCACAGAAGTTCCCAGCAGCCCTTCCGGCCTTAGATGGCCCAGAAGTTGGATTGGGTCAGACCTGGGTTCAAATCCAGACTCCACCATTAACTTGCAGTGGTGACTCTGGCCAGTTTTTGGCTCAGCCATGGACTGGGGTTGAGAGTGGGGGGCAAGGGCTTTAGAAACCACRTCCGCCCCCCTGGCCCGCGGCAGATGCACCCTCCTGCTGGCGCACCGGCCTGTGCCCTCCCTCAGCCCTGGCCTTGTGCTCTTCCCTCTGCCTGAGCCGCCTCTGCCGAAGCCTCGATCTAGACAGACCCGGGGCAGGGGACAGACCCGGGGCACAGGACATCTGGGGAGCAGGTGTTGAAATCTCAGCCAGTTTGGGGTGAAGCTGGCGCTCCCTCACTCTGGGCGGGGTTGCAGTGCACATGGGTGTCTGGGGCGCTGTCACAAGCCCACCACGCCTGGCCCTTCACCCCAGTCCGAGAGTCACAGAAGGGCAGACACTTCTGCAGTGTCAACACCACGGCCCGCTGAGCCAGGSCTTCCTGCGAAACTCCTGGGAGGGACGTGGCGAGGGCAGTGGGCTCGGGCCTGGGCGGCCAGCTGCCCTCCGCAGCGGAGCCTGTCTCTGGTGTTCTGGGAGCAGCGAGCCAGCTGCCTGAGCGGCCCGGCTTTGCCAAGAAGAGGCCCTGACATCTCCTGAGCGGGCACACCATTGGGGCAGCTTGGGACGTATCATGGAGGGGAGGGCACAGCTCAGGCTGGGAGGCTGAGGTGGAGGCACCAGTGGAGGGTCTTCAAGCCTGGCCACCGCAGTGCCAAGCGCCGGCCAGCATCACTGAGGAGCGTCTGCCCCGCCCTGAGTCAGCGTCTCAGGGTTTGCTTGGTGACAAGATCACCAGGTGATTCCTGGGCACATTATTTGAAACTGTCTGCTTCAGAGCAGGAGCTGGCTTGGATCCCAGCCRTATACGAGCTGTGTGACCTTAGACAATTACTTCGCCTCTCTGAATCTCAGCTCCCTCATCTGCAAAATGGTTTTGGATAAAAATTCTCTACCAAAGAGGGTTAATAACTCACAGCCCAGAGATGATGTGTGTGAAGGGCGCTGAGCCACAAATGTGGGACCCAGACCGAGTCTGCCAGCAAACGGCTGCTGCTGCCGCCGCCATCGGGGATCCACAGGGCAGCGCGGTTCTCACCCTGGGTTGATTCAGGGCAAGTCGCTTTGCCTCTCTGGGCCTCGTTTTCCCCAGCTGTACAATGGGCCTCCCGGCCCCTGCCCTGCCTTCCACACCCGGGTTGCTCAAAGACAAGGCGGGGTCTCACTGCCACAGGCCCATCTGGGGCAGAGGGGTGTCATTCTTCGCCCCTCGTTGTCCTGGGCTGAGAGGACACAGGTGAGGCTGATGCTCAGACGCTCTCGCACGGGCCTGCTCAGCAGCTTGCCTCTCAGTCCCCTTGCCCGGAGCAGAGTGGCCAGGGGAGATGATTCAGCCCAGTGTTGAGGGGAGCCCCAGATGCCCGTGCTGCAGGGTCAGTGAGGGTGACCTGGGAACTTCCCCCACTTGGCATCCCGTCCCCACGGGGGGCCTGTCCTCGGGAGAGGTGGCCTTGGGCAAATCACGTGCACACTCAAGGCCTCAGTTTCCCTCTCTGCATGACCAGGGGCTTCCAGGGAGTGGCCCCCTCCAGGTTAGGCCCTGAGCCTCCTGAGTGTCCCCTGTGTCCTCGGCCCCGGGTGCAGGCCCTGGAGCCCATGGCAGGTGAAGGCCGGCTGCTACGGTGGGCTGCTGAGGACCAAAGTGAGCAGAGAGTGCCGTCCTCGGAGCCGGGAGCCAGGGGAGGAATTTTCCTCTGTGTGCAAACAGTCTCCGTTTTCTCTTGTTTCCAAAAGCCGGTGACGTAACCGTCTCCATCCATCCCTCTCTCGGGCCTATTTTTAGCTGGCCCGACAGCATCCTAAAAGGCTCTAGACTCCTGCTCTGTGGCCTTGTAGGGAGGGCTGCAGGGGAGCAAGACAGAAGCTCCTCTGTCTGGCCCCGGTGGGGGTGGGAAGGGAACTGGCCCCTGGCTCCTCCAGGGAGGGAGGAGGTGCCAGAGACCCTGGTCTCAGGCTCGGGGACGCTGARCAGTCAGCATGGACCTCCCCCCCCAGTGCCGGCTTCCTCCCCTCGCTCTACCTCCGGTAGGAGCCTGGCCTTCTCCACCTGTCCTGGGAGCAACCCACCCGTGCCCGGGGCTGGATTGTTTGTGTAAAAGGTGCCCGGCTACAAAGGAGTCTCCAAAAAGGGAGCTGGCCTTGTTGATGTCGCTATTTTTACAGTCAGCCTGAGGCTCCAGGGACTCCCTCCTCCCCCTGCTGTTAATCTGGGGTGCCTTAAACCCTCATGCGTCTGTGCCCCTCTATCTTTTCCTGTTCTTTCAACCAATTGTGTACATGAATGAAATGATTTGCAGGTGTACTTAGAGTCGAGTCTGGCCTATAATAAATGTTAGGTAAATGAGAGCTGTATTTGTTAGGTTTTGCTTTAATGTAATAAAACAATCTGGGTTTGAATTCTGACAGCACCCACTGATTAGCTGTGTGTCTTTGAGCAAGACATTCAACCTCTCTGAACTTAGTTTTCACATCTGCAAATGGAATAACAACACCTGTGTAGGTTTCTGTGTTGGTTAGCGTGGGCTACGAAACAAATAGGCTCCGAGACTGCAATGTGCAGTGTAGCAAGTTTGTTTCTTGTGGGTGCAGAGAAGTGGGGAGGGCGGAGCTGGTGGCTGCCTGGCGCTGTGCTTAGCTGCAGCAGCTGGAGCCCCAGCATCTGTCCAACACTTTACMGTTTGCATGAAGGGGTGGCGACCCTTTGGGCCTCCGCTCCTCCCAGTGCCATCCTCATGTCTTGAAGTGATCCCTGTCACCAGCTGCTACTAGGGTTACCTCCAGCCCAGCTGTGTCCCTGCACCCCCACCCTTGGCTAGGCGCTCCKGGAGGGCAGGAGGGGATGGGGTCACCGTGCCGCTCCCGGCCCAGCTTAGGGACAGCCTAGGGTGGGTGCTGGGGCTACCTAGATACAAGGAGGTCCCCCTCTGATCCCCTGTTCTCTTGGCTTTTGCAGATGGGAGGAGGAGCTGGCCAAACGCATGAACCTTCAGACCATGGTGGATACCCTGCAGGAGGTGAGAGCCCTCGGAGGTCCCCACGGGGGGGCGGGGGGCAGGCGGACAGTCAGGAGGCCCAGGCTTCATAGGACAAAGCTGGAAAATGACTCCAAGCACAAGCCCTGCTCTGTGGTCACTTCTGCTGCCCCCACCTCTTCCCTKTGGGGGAAAGGGGTCCCGTCCACCTCCTCTGCTTGAGAGCGAGGAAGGGCCCAGCACAGGTGACAGGTAAACTCAGCCAAGGAGCAGGAGAGCCTGGGTCCTGCTGGGTGGCCTGGGCCATTGACGCCCCTCTGTCTGCCCACCTGCATTGGGCTAGGTGGGCTCCAAGTTCCCCTCCCCCTCAGTTTGTGGTTCCCTGAGCTGGGACTGGAGAGAGCCCGTGGTCACGTCCCAGGTGGGTCTCTGGCCCACCCTCGGAGCACCCTGACCTCCCATTTCACCTCTCGGCCCCTGTTTTCCTCTCGGCCAAATGGGAACAAGAGCAGAAAAGTTCTTTCAAGACATTGTAGACATTGGGCCAGGGACAGAGCACAGGGGTAGAGCACTTGCCTGGTAAGGCCCTGGGTTCCGTCCCCAGTGCCATAAGTAATAAGTCAGTAAGTAAAGAAATAAGTGAATSAATAAAATTGCTTTCTGATGTTTCAAGCACTTACTGTCGGGCTGAGGACACAGCCCAGTGGGTAGGGTGCCTGCACAAGGCCCTGCGTTCAATCCCCAGCACCACACACAAAAAAGCACTTCCTGTCTAAGAGACGGATTGAAGTAACTATCACTGTGAGGAAGGAGAAGGGTCAACATCCCTCTTTCTTTTACAACAAAGTATTCTTTCTTTATAAATCCAACATGTTCACGGTCAGACATTTGGAAAAATAAAGAACAGAGTCAAGGTTACCTGCAGTTCTCCCCTCCGAGGCTTGTCCCYGGCCTGCCACCTGTTACCTTGGCATGTGTGACGTGGCCGTTTTTAAGACCAGAGGCGGTCGGCCCCTGGCAGTCGGCCGTGGGTCAGCCTGGTGTTTGAACGTGCGGGGCCCTCTTACCCTGACCGCTCCTGTCTCCCCCGCMGTGATGAGGCTTGGGAAGTGTTTGGAGGGGTCAGCAGGGCCCGGTGGACTCGGTCCTCGGCACCCCGTCCCTGGCGCGCGGGCACCAGGCGTCCAGTTCCTCGTGCCCCTTGCTCCCCCTAAAGCCTGCCATCTCCGTCCGCAGGCGGCGCAGGAGGCCGAGGCCATCCAGGAGGAGATGAACGAGAAGATCGAGAGGCTCAAGGCCGAGCTGGTGGTGTTCAAGGGGCTCATGAGTGACGTAAGTGCCACCGGCCACCGCCGCTCTCAGTCACCACCTCTCCCACACCCATCATGCAAACGCTTCCTTCACTCCGAGGCTCCGAGCTCGGCTTCTAGTTAGAGTCCTGGCTGGCTGCGTGTGCCCTGGGGGTGGCCTGAGGGTGACGGATGCATCCTGGAGACCAGGCGCCCTCCTCCCGCCCCCCACGTCSGCTTCCCGGTCTGAGTAGAGATGCATTAATCTGCCGCTTAACCCATCCGCCCCCGGGCTCTCGACGCGTGCGTGTGGCCCCACTCCTTCCCGCTCACTCGGGGCCTGGGTGTCTGGGCACGGGCGACAGTGTGGACTGTGTCGAGTCAGGAAGGGCCAGCGTGTGTCCTGGGCAGTCTGGGGCCCTCTGAGCACCTGTGGCAGCAGAGCCTCCGTGGAGCAGTGGCAGGTGGAGGGGCAGCCTGCTGGAAAGCAGTGCCGTGTGCGGGTGCCTCGGCCCGGCGTGGCTCCTGGTGCCCAGGGCCCTGCGGCTATGAGCGTGTGGCCGGGGAAGCCATGGGGGGTCAGGTGGTGGCCACCTGGCCTCCCCTCGTTGGGTCCAGGGGGACCCCACTGTCCTCGGCAGGTCCCCACTGCCAGCTGTGGGCGGAATCCAGGAGAGCGAGTGGCCTTGGTGGCACCTGTGTGGCGGGTGGGTGTGTCAGTGGGCGAAGGAGGGCGTCTCTCAAGGTGGGGTGTCTGTCTCTCTCCTTTGCTTTAACAAACACGGACTCTGCACCTTCCCAGAGGGCRCCTTGCCGCCCCGGGAGACCAGCACACACGGCCGCGCCTCTCACTCCCGAGGTCCCCACACAGTCCCCACCCCAGCAGCGCTGACCCCACCCTCTACCCGCAGGACAGGCTCAGGGCCCCCTCCCCGGACTCCAGGGGCGTCCCCCGACACCTGGGGCTCTCCCCACCTCTCCAGCTGGCCCCCATGCTTCCTCCGTCCCTCGCTCACGTAACCCCTGCTGTCCTCCCTGCAGCCCATGACAGACCTGGACACAAAGATCCAAGAAAAGGCCATGAAGGTGGACATGGACATCTGCCGCCGAATCGATATCACGGCCAAGCTGTGCGATGTCGCGCAGCAGCGGAACTCGGAAGACGTGTCCAAGATCTTCCAGGTGACCAGGGCCGCCCCGCACACCAGCTGCCCCCCACCTCCCAGAGCAGCCCTGGCCTCCACCACTGCCCGGCAGACCCTCCCTGCCTCCCTCCTTCCACCTCCGCTCACGCCCCCTCCTGAGAGGTAGCGTCCACCCGGCCCTACGGCCTCCCCAGGAAAACGTAGACCCAGGACCATGGACGTGTAGGCCCCCGACTGCCCTGACTGATTCAGCCCTGGCCCAGGGGAGTGCRGCCGGGGGTTCCGCACCCAGGAAGGACGTGGCAGAGCTGGGCCAGGACTCGGCTCCTGACCCACCCTGTGTCCACCGCTTCCCTTCCCACCTTCTCTTCTGGGTGCTGGGACTGGGCATGGTCCCCGTGGTGGTGTCCCTTATGGGGAGACCTGGGGGAACAGCCTGAGCCCGGCAGGTGGGCCTCAGGGTGCAGAAGAGAAGCTGTGGCCGTGGCAGGTTTTCATTCCCCTGAAGAGTCTCGGCACCCCCCAGACCTAACTGAAAGTGTGGGCAGCCCTGAGAGATGGCGGTCAGTTAGCACTGGTGGGGCTGTCCCCTGGAGAGGACTCGGGGGCTGCCGCAGCTGACGAGGACAGGTGTAACTCTCTGGAGGCTGCTTCCTGAGTTTCGGGTTGTGATCTGGCTTCTGCTTGAGCCCTCTGGTGTGCTGATGCTTTACGTGTGTGACTCTGGACATGGCTGCTTGAGGTCCGGGGCCTCACTGGGCCCCTTTGGTGACCTCCATGCCTTCTTGCTGGCCCTGTGCTGGGGAGCAGGAGGTCCTTGTGCCCCTCATTTGCTTGTGTCTTGTCTGCTTGGAGTGGAAGCTGGGTGGACCTCTGGTCACCTGTCCGTCTGCTGCCTGTGCATGTGAGGAGAGCCCTGGGGGCACCCAGCTGTTTTGGCCTCTGTCTGGGGGTCTCCGTGGCTGGCTCTGAGACACCCAGGCAACCGTGCACCCTGGCCTGGCCCCTCTGCCTCCAGTCATGGAGCTGGCGGAGGGCCAGCTGAGGTGGCCCAGCCACCAGGCCTCCCAGGGAGGGCAGGGTCCGGGCCACCTGTATTCTTCACCTGCATGTCGCCCCTCACGCTTCCTGCTAACGCCGCCCGCTTCTTAGAGGACCTGCGCACCTTCCCTGCAGTGGCTGGCCCCGGCCACGCTCCATCACCCTCCAAGATGCCGGTTTCCTTTTCCGCCCACCCCACCCTCCTTCCCAGCCTCCTAGTTACCGTGATCTCTTCCTTTCCGGTCCAGGTGGTCCCCAAGAAGAAAGAGCGTAAGGTGACTTCGGATGATGACATCTCTGAACAGGATGGAGAGGTGAACCGGTTCTCGGACGACGAGGTTGGCTCCATGAACATCACGGACGAGATGAAGCGCATGTTTAACCAGCTGTGAGTGTCCCGGGCCCAGGTGGCCGGCGGGATGGGCTGGGCCCTGGGGCCTGGGCTGAGAGTGCCCACAGGGGTGTTCGGTGTGCATAGGGCAGTGTTCTGGAGGAATTTGGGGTTCATGTTCCACAGGGAGAGTCTGGAAGTTTTGTGGTTTCAGCCTCTGTTGGAAGCTGGAGAGGGTGAGGTGTCTCAGGCTCAGGGCACAGGTGACAGGGCCTGAGAGCGCTGCTGAGTTTGGACCTGGTGAGATATGTGTGCTGTTTACCTCCATCCCACTCCGTCCTCTCTTTTAGAATCCTCACCCCCAGAAGGGAGGTCAGGGGAGGGATTGCTTTGGCTGGGGAGAGGGGTGCTCTTGCCTGTGGGATGAGGGACTGGGCTGTCCCCTCCCTGCTCATGCGTAGAAGGGTCTGTGCCTGTGGATGTCATGAGTCTAGAAGGTGCCAGAGGTACGGTGGTCTTCTTGTGGGCTGTTCCTGATCAGGCCCAGGCACCCCTCACGTCCCTCTGCCCTGGTGGGCCGGCTGGGCCACCCTCTCAGGGCCTGGGAAGGGCCACGGCATTCTCCGAATGTCCTCCACGCTGAGGCGCTTCTCGGCCAAGGTGCTCAGCCGGTGGCCAGGATTCAGACCTGGGCTGCATCGGGAGAGCGTGCCCTCGCCTCGAGGTGCTGCCCAGTCATGGCAGAGTCAGCCGGGCATGGTCAGTGGTGGCCAGAGCCAGCCTGTGCCGTCTCTGGGAAGCTGACTGAACACAGGTGCTACCTGTGGGCAGGCACAGTGATGTCACATTAGTCACTTAAAAATTGCCATTGCGGGAAGTTGGCAGCTGCTCACCATCAGGGCTCCCCGTCCCGCCCCACAGAGAGCTGGTGTGCCAGAACTCCTGGGTATGGCCAACCTGCGGCCAGCGTGGCCCTGTGGCCTTGGCTTGTCCGTGCTGTGTTCTTGACCCAGATGCATCTTGAATCCACGTGGTACCCTGCAGTGGGATGGGGAGGGGCAGCAGGTCRGCCGCGGGCACCGGGTGAGAAGCAGGGCAGGGCTGGGCCTTGGTCTGTGGGTCTGCCTTTCCCTCTGGTCCACTGGCCTGCTCTCCCCCGCAGTCCCTTCAGTTGGGACCCTGAGAACGCAGCTTTTCCCTGGGCCTCCCAGCTGCGAGGCTGGCTTGGCATCACCTCGTCCCCGGAGCGTGCCACCAGCCCCTTTGTCATACAGAGGGGGAAATGGGCTCAGAGAGGGCATGCGGGTGCGAGGACCAGGAAGAGCCAGGCCCCAGCTCTGGGTCCGGGGCTTTGTCCCTCTTCCATCTCTGCATCACTGTCCCTCTCTGGTCCCTTTTCACTAAGCCAGGCTGGCTGTGCGGAAGAGGTGACAGGGGCAAGAGCTGGAACTGGGGGGTGCTGGGAGCCCCTGCCTGTTTCTCCCCTGGGCCTGTGGGGCTGCATTTTGGAGGTTTGCTATTGAAGGTGGCGAGGAGACCCCCAGACTCCGATTCACCTTAGACACGATCTCACGCCTCATCTTCTGCTGACAGAGGCCTTTTGAAAAGAACCATCGGTGGGGTCCGGGTTTTCTGAATGTCACTGTGACATTCGGGAGCCTAGGACAGCGGAATGCCACAGAGACCCCAGGTCGGTTCCATGTGGTTGAGCGAAAGGGCTTCTCTGAAGACATCACTGTCCTCATTTTCGTGTTAAGCTGACCAGGTTGGGTGAACTGGACAGGGCACACACCGGACATGGCTCCTGTGTGTAAAAAGCGTGCTCGGGTCCAAGCCAGGCCAGACCCGTGCAGCAGCGTCCACGGGTCTGCATGAGGCTCAGGATCTCGTTACATTTATCTGGTTGCAAAGTGGCCTTAGTTAAAAAATAAACAGATAAATCCTGTGATCATTTTGCTTGATCCCCGTGTCCTGCATTTCCAGGCGAGGTGGCAGGGACCCAATGGGCAGGCCCTGGCTTTCCCTCTAACTTATCCGCTAGCCGTGGACCCACGCCAGAGGCCGCTCGGGCCAGTTCTAGTCTTTGAACAGACGCGCCCAAGTCAGTGCTGTTTTGTTTTGATCCGAATCAGTTGCTTGGGCTTCAGACCAAGGAAAAAGGGAGGAATCTGCTGCCTCTCTGCCTGGGGCCAGCCCTCCTCCTCTGGCCGCCACCGCAGGATGGGGAGGCTCTTGCTCTTGTCTATCTTCCTGTCCTTCCTGGCCCGCCAYCCTCAGCCACCGGGTTTCCTTCAGATCCCAGGCACTGGGAAGGAAGTGAAGTCAGGGGTGGAGTATGTGAACTGTGACGGGGTGACCCAGTGGCTCCTGGTGGCGCCTCCCTCTCCATCCCAGCCCTAGGTCTTGTCCTTGGACTCATGGGGCCACCTACAGGCTCCTGCAGGAACAGCAGTTGGGCAGGGAAACCCCCTCAGCCTGACTCTAGGGGGCGCTGGAGGCAACTGCCCAGAGGTGCCCAACCCATTCCATTGTAGGATGGATGGGAACAGTGCCCCAGAGGATCCAGGAAGGGACTGATGGGGGCAACCCAGGGCTGGAAGTCTGAGAACAGGATCCCACCCTCTGTGCCACTGATGTGTTCGAATCCTAGACTCAGCCCTCTCTTGGGACCGTGGGTGTGTTGGATGGAATGATCATTAATGTCCCTTGCAGTTAGGTTACCAGGGCCTCTTGGGGGCCCCTTATTCCTGGGCAAATGCTTGGTCGACTTCCAGTTGTAGCCAGTTGGGAGGCTCTAAAACCTTCAGGTTTTTTATTCAAGTCCAGTTTCAGCATGTCGGAGTCCTGGTGCCTTCTGTCCTATCTCTGATGTCCTGATGTCCATCGTGTGTGTCACCTCGTATCCCTGGGTCTCATTTTCTCCCCTGTAAAATTGGAACAATAATCATGCTTACCTCATGGGGTTGTTTTGAGGTAGCATTGGTTGCATTTCAATACAAGTGTTCATATTTATATTTCATAATAAAAATATGTTGTAATAAAAATATTTTTTTAAATGCATGCTCAGTGGCTAGTCCAGGCTCTGTCCAAAAAAAAAAAATAATAATAAGATTGGACTTGAGAGGAAGATATCTCTAGTCTCCATTAATTAAAGCCTGGTATCTTAAAAAAAATCCTTATGTGTGTGTGTGTGTGTGTGTGTGTGTAATATAAATTGTACAAATAAAGCATAGATACATTCTGCATTTCACAAGAGTCAAACTCTTTTTGGATATGACAAGTGACCTCGGTGTCTGGCACTCCCATCTTTGTTAAGAAGCCTGGCAGGCCGTACCAGGGGGAAGACACCCCTCTCTGTCCCCAGTATGGGCTGCTGGAACCTGGCTTATGTTCACTTGTGCCCTCTGATGTCACTCCCATAGGCGGGAGACCTTTGACTTCGATGACGACTGTGACAGCCTGACGTGGGAGGAGAACGAGGACACGCTGCTGCTCTGGGAAGATTTCACCAACTGCAACCCCAGCATCGACCTCCAGGGCGAGGTGGGCCCGGGGCCTGGCATCCTGAAGGTGGGGGGCTGGGGGCAGCGCCTTCCCACCACCCCTCGACCCTGTTCTTCCCGTGCAGCCCCCACTACCCAGCTCAATTGTCCCTTCTGTCCTGTTTCCCCAGCAAGAGGAGAATCTGGGCAACTTGATCCACGAGACCGAATCCTTCTTCAAGACGAGAGACAAGGAGTACCAGGAGACCATAGGCCAGATTGAGGTGAGGGCTCAAGGGAGGCTCCCCCAGGTCCACGTGGCTGCCGCTCCTGGTGATCAAGTGTCACATGGGTGCGGGCTGGAAAGTGGGGTGACCCAGGCTCAGGAGCCAGGAGGCCGTGGACTCCCTGCCTGGTGTTGGAGTCCCATCTTTCTTAGGCTTTTGGTTCCTGGGCTACAAGAGCGGGGTAGTGACCCCTGCCTGCCCCCAGAGTCTTTTGTTTCTTTAATTATTCATTTGAGATGAGGATCCCAGAGGAACCAGAGCTGGCATTTGAGTGATCTGGAGCAACGGTAGGCGCAGGGTGAGCCCTTCACAGGCTCATGCTCCTAGTGTCCTTACGTCCTTACGGACCGCAGGAACTGTGTGCCCATAATACAGAGGAGGAGATGAGGTTACAAGGAACCAAGCGCCTTGGCCACGCCTCGCGGCCAGGAAGCAGCGCCCAGGCCTGTTCTCTCCGGTTCCAGAGGCTGTGCACGGGACCACTTCTGTAGGGGACAGCTGATGCTGTCACCATGCTGGGGAAAGAGAACTCAGGGCCTTCCCTGGAGGGAGCGCCGTTTGGTAGAGGAGAAGGGGTAGAGGAGAAGGGCCAGAGCCATGGACCAGGCAGGACGGCTCTAGTCACTGCTGAGCAAGGAGGAGTCGCCACACTTGGTGGGACAATCAGGAGGGACTGCCTCGGGGTTGCTAAGCAACCCTGCCCCTTCGACCAGAAGCACTAGCAAAGGACGCGGACCAGGCAGCAGAGGGCGAGGGGCCAGTGTCCATGAGGCAAGGTCCTGAGGGCGTGGTGGGGGCCCCCAGAGGGGGAGGGAGGAGGGAGGTCTCCGAGGGATCTGCCACAAAGATGGCTTGTCCTCACTGACCCCCTGGGGTTCCCCCCAGCTGGAGCTGGCCACAGCCAAGAGTGACATGAACCGGCACCTGCACGAGTACATGGAGATGTGCAGCATGAAGCGGGGCCTGGACGTGCAGATGGAGACCTGCCGCCGGCTCATCAAAGGCTCTGCAGACAGGTGCGCACCTGGCCTCCCGGGGAGTCAGCGGCGGGTCCTCAGGGGGGCTCTGGGCTGCCCCCCACAACCTGCCTAAGTTTCATCTTCCCGCCCGTCGGTCTGTCCACCCACCCACCCACCCATGCAACCACCGTGCACCCTGTGAACACGAGCCCACCTACTGTGTGCTGGGTGGCTTACCCAGCTCACCTCATGGAACTCCCACAGCAACCCTGTCCCCATGGTTCAGCGGGTACTTGCCAAAGGCCTTCTGTGTGCGAGGCCTCAGGATCCAGAAATGAGCAGTCGGGGCCTCAGCACTCAGGGGCCGTGGGGAGGTGGGCAGGGTCCTCCCCCACTGCGGAGGCTGGGGCTCCCGTGGGTCTGTCGGAAGTGAATTCCCTTCTTCCTTCCCCRTCTCCCGACCCAGGGCCAGATGGGTCTGTCCCCAGGAGACTGACATGCCTCAGGCCTTGCCCACAAAGAGCGAGCCCTGGCCTTCAGGACACACACTTTGTTGGGGGTCAGACACGCTGATAATAGAGTCACACGGGGAGAATGCTTGGCCTAGAGCACAGGTCCGTGCGGCTCGCAATCCTGGCTCTTGTGATGGCTGTCACAAGAGAGGCAGCTCTATGGGAAGCAGTGTGTGCTTAGCCTGGCCTCTCTTTAACTCGTGGAATCCCCCAGAACACACTGCGATTACAGGCAGGTGAAACAGCTTGTCCCTGTCCCCCAGCCAAGTGTGATGGAGCCCGAATCACAATACAGAGTTGTTGACCTCCAGCTGGGGTAGCCTCCTTTCCATTCTGGGGTATTTGAGGTTTAGTGAGCACCTACTACGTGCCTGGACCTGGATGGGGTGATTGCAAGTTAGGAACCAAGCTTGATCCATGGCTCCTGCTCCCGAGGCGCTTTCTGCCTGGTGAAGCCAAGCACCCAAGTAGAGGCCGGGGCACGGGAACTCAGGAGGTCTCGAGAGTCAAGTTCAACTCATGATCTTGAAGGTTCCTAAACAAACAGAGCAAGGGCAGGACCCCTCTGAGAGCAGATGGTGTAGGGGTGGCTGCTCAGCTTTCCTGCCCCTGGATCCCCTCAGGAGCCCCATGCTGACTGTCTGTCCCCTGTTTCCCAGGAATTCGCCGTCCCCCAGCTCTGTGGCCAGCAGCGACTCAGGAAGTACAGACGAAATCCAAGATGAGTTGGAGCGGGAGGGGGACGTGGAGCCGATGGTCAGCTGATGACGGAGCCCCAGGCACCTGGTGGTCCTGGTGATGGGCCTGCGGGCCCCTTCTCTCCAGGGGGCCAGGAAGGCTCCTCCCATGGGCTCCAGTCCTCACCACACAGACTTCCTCTGCCTTCCCTTCTCTGGAGGCCCCAAGGGACCGCTGCTTCCTTCCACCGCCCCCACGACCAGTGCCCCTCTCCATCCACCCCCCACCCAAGGAATGGTGCTGTCAATTTCTATCGTTCTCCACGTTACAAATGCAGACTTCTGTCGGAGGATGCAGTGTGAACTGTGCCTTCTCCCTTAAGCTGAGCCACTTTGAGCTCCAAAGATTTATTCCTGGCAGGTGTTTTTATACAAAACTCCAAGGTGAGGGCGGGGCCCGGGCCTGAATCGCGTGGTTTCTCCCCTCCCACCTGCTGCTCTGATTGGCCATGAGCTTTGCCCTCCCTTTCTCTGTGGCTGGCACCTGGAGGGCTCTCCCTTCCCTGGGAAGGAGCTCTTGCCTCTGGGCCTCGTGGGGACCTCCTGGACCCTCACTTACTGAAAGAGAAAGGTGGAAGGAAGGGAGGGAAGACCAATTTTTATTTTCTGTCTTGGATCTAGTGGCAAAGTAGAGGGACAAGGCACTGTGGGGGGCGGGGGGTGGAGCCTCACTGTGTTTAAACTACTATGCAAAAAAACAAAACAAAAAGCAGCTTGCCTTATATCTTCCTGGATGGCAGGCCCTCTCCCCGCTCCTGGCTCTCCCCCGGAGCTGGGAGGGAGGCTGAGGTTGGAGCCATCTCCCTTGAAGCCTCCGAGGGTGCGCCTCCTCGGGTGCACCTCCTTGGGTGCGCCTCCTCGGGTGCGCCTCCTCCGTAGGTCCAGGCTGGGAGTGAGGCCTGCGTTTCTGCCAGGCCCGCCCCACTTGACCGCTGGCTTTCTTGGGGACCTCTGTGGGGTTGGGTTGGGCTTGGGGCGCCTTTATTGTCCTGATGACTTGATGTTCTCCTCTCCCTCTCCGGCCAATAATAAGGATTTATAGAGCTGTAATTTCTCTGTGAGAAAGTCTGAAGGGGCCAGGCCTGGTACCTCTTCCGTCCATGGTAGGGCTCCCCTTGGTGCCCGCCTGCTGCCATCTTGGTTCTCCACTGTCCTGTGGTCACCTGGTATTAGGCCACTGGCAGGAAAGAGGCATGGGAAAGGGAAACGGAGGGAGGTGGCAGGGGCTGCTGGTGGGTTAGTGTCTGGAGGTGGCCTGAGGAGAACCCCAGTAGGGGCCGTCCCTGTTCTGCGCGTGGACACGTGAGCCTTTTTCCGCCATTCACTTCACCCACCAGCTGGGGAGTTCATCTGAGCCAGTATCTCCCCGCGGTTTGAGGGGCCTGAGTTGGAGGGCCCTTTGTTGAGACCACCCACCAAATCTCAGCTGGGAATCGGTCCAGCAGGCCTCCTCCCCACAGCTGGATGTCCACTCCAGTGGGGGGGGGTGCCCACTTTTGTTTTTGTTGGCCCAGGGGCTCCCTCTGAAGGTCAAAGAAACAAAAACCGTGCCCCCTCGTGGGCTGAGGAGCACTCTGGCCCGAGAGGGTGGGTGGCTCCCTGACTCCCCTCTGCAGGGGCCACTGGCCATTCAGGGCCTTCCCTCGTCCATTTTCCCCGCGTTTTGCCGTCTTAAAACCGTTGTACATTGCATTCATCAATATGTGGAGAGAGAGAGAGAGAGAGAGAGAGAGAGAGAGAGAGAGAGAGAGAGCGCGCGCATCATTGCCTGTGATATAATTTATCAGAATTTGTGGTGTTTCTCCTGAGCTGTTCCCTTTGTTTTATTTGGGGGGCGCATCTGCTGGCCCCCGGGCAGTCTGGCGGCCCGGCTTCCGACCTCCTCACCTCCTCATCTCTCGATGGCCAGACTGCTCCTTTGGCAGGTACTTGGAGGGATCAAGGTTTTGGAAGAGGGACAGCCCCTTCTCCCCTCCTCACTGGCCCTTGTTGTAAAGGTTACAGGGTTCACACATATCCGATTATTATTATTGTTGTTGTTGTTGTTGTTTTATTTTTATTTTAACCAAAGGTTATCGGAGCCGGTTGGGCTTAGACCTCAGCTGCTGAAGAGATTTCCCATTTCCATGAGGGTAGGAAGATGGCCGCCCTCGTGGGTGTCCCCAGCCTGGGGCTGAGGGAGGCGTCCAGGGCTGTGGGGCAGGCTGGGTGGGAGCCAGCCCTGGGCTGTTCCTCGAGGTGGTGGAGGGTCACAGACCTATCTTTAGTTAGGACAGTTAGGCAGCAGTGTAAGTGTTTGGGGACAGAGGTCACRGTGGTGGTGGTGTCCTGTGGTATTAGTTTGCTTCCCCCTTGTCCACATAGGCCATTTGTCTTCAGGGTGCTCCGATTTGTCCAGGGAGTGTGAGAATGGCCGGTGCCAGAGAGGGACCCTGGCCTGAGCGTCCCTTCCTGCTGGCTCCCACCACCTGCTCTCCTCTGGGGCGCTGAGGCCTTGGGGCAGTAGGGAGGTACGCAGAGCCAGGGTGTGGCCAGCCGCCTCCTGGGCAGGGCCCTGGGTCTCACCTGGTCACTGTCCATGCCACTCAGTTCTTTAAGTTGGTTGCCAGTGGGCCCTGCTTGACCCCTCGCCACGAGCCCACAGCTTGCCAAGAAAGACCCCACGGCTCGCCGGGGCAGTGCGTGGCCCAGTTGGGGCCAGCTGGTCCGTCCTTTGTAAAGCTGTAAATACTTCATTTTTTTGGTTTTCTATTTCTGAGCCCGGTGTCATATTGACACTGGTATTTTAGACTCGTTCTCAGATGGGCTCTCCTGGCTGCCCTCTCTCACTCGCACTCTCCTGGGTCTGGGGGTTTTACACATACACAGGATGGGGGAGCAGCAGAGAAGGTAGCATTCTTTTGACTCCCTGGTTGGTTGTGAAACACACACACACACATACACACACTCCTCTGAGACTCTGAACAGTGAAAAAAATGATTGGCCAGCAAACACATTCTGCTTTCTCATGGCAATAGGACTGGAGGCTCCGAGGACCAGTCCCTCCCAGACTCCGCCCTGGAGCTCCACCGACTCGGGAGAGTCCAACTACTTTGGCTTGGGGTGGGAGGAAAGGGGGTGGGGCAGGGGATAATATAAAGGTGTAACTTAAGCTAAATGTAATCTATTTATAAAGCCAGAGACTCTCATCTATTTTTATGAAAGGAAAGGTTTTTTTAAATCTAGGGTAGGCAGTTGAGGTAGCCCAGCATCTTTCTGTGGACAAGATATTCTGCATGTCGCTGCTGGATTTCGTATCATCAGTACCCCCGGCCCCTGACTCGCCTTCCTGAACTCATCCACACCCAAGATCGCATTCAGCAGAGAGGAGCCCACTCCACCCTGTTTCCTTCTCCCCTGATCCCTCCAGTCTTTGGAAGTCTTGGTGGGGGGAGGCGCTTTCAGAGGTAGGTGGGCGGCAGGGATTTCCAAATTGAGGGGAGTGGCTGGAAAAGGGGGCATTTGGTCGGGGACAAGCTCTGCTTCAGTCAGCTCTGATTAGGTGCCCCAGCTCTGATCTGCCAGTCTGCTRTGTCGGGAGAGGGCTGGGAGGCAGCAGGCTGTGGGTGGTGATGGGGCCGAGGGCTCCTTTGGACCTGGGTCTTAGTGGGTCCCAGGGGTCAGCAGCCGGGGCAGGTCTGGAAATTCCCTAAGACGCCCAGAGAGCAGCCCTGCTGTGCTGACTGGGGCCCAAGACTGCAGTCCTTGTGCTCCTGCAGGGTTCTGGACGAAGGACCCAGGATACTGGGGGTTTCCTTAGACCTGGTCCTCCTCCTGGGACAATAAGCTTGGCTCTAGATGGCCACGTTCCTAGAGTGGAGCATCTGATCCGCCGGTGGGTATGGGGAAAGTCGGATTCTCTCTGGGAGGGAGTCTTCTTTCATGGAAGACTTCCTGGCACAGGATGGGCGCACTGCTCACCGCCTCCCTCCTTCCCAAGCTCTCAAAGACATGACGCAAAGCTCCCCACCCAGACCCCTTTGTGGACATTTTAGCATCTACCTGGTTTTTAGTCCCGTCCTATCCCACTGTTGCTGTTCGTCTGCCAGCTGGGTCTGACATCACTGGGGAGGGGGATTTGTACTCACTGAAAGACTACTGATCCTACCGGAAAACCAACCTGTTTACTGTACTGTTGTAAATATCATGCCCTTTATATCCTGTATATTGGCTTCTTTTAAATAAAGTGAAATGTCTTAGATTTGACTGTGCATTTATTTATTTTTAAAAATTGAGGATGCAAGTGATGATGGTCGGGGGGCGCTGGAAGACAAAGAGCCACATAAACACTAAAGCAAACTTATTAGCCAACCCCCGATAAAAAGGGGGAAATTTCACTTCACCTGTTAACAGGCACCTCACAATCTTTGGTAGAAGAGGAGGGAGGGATTATGATGTTTTACAGAAGGGGAAGGGAGAGCCAGAGAGATGGCACAGCTGTCTGCAATGGAAGTCCCTTTCTCAAACATTTCCAGTGTGCCCACAGAAGCCTCCTTGCTGGTACTGTGGATTGAATACTGCCTCATGTTCTAGTGTATTCTTGTTAATGACCACATTCAGAGTGACACTATTCCAACACCTGACAGGGCCTTCTCCAAGGAAGAAGAGGAAAAAAAACCACCATCAATTAATTCCAAATGCCTCCCCCCATCTCTAAGCCCTGACAGTAGTTTCCCTTCCTTTTTGAATATTTAAATGACCTGATGTGTCTTAAACGGTGTAATCTGGCGGGAAAGGAGTGATGGGGGCAGTCTGAGGTCTTATCACCTCCATTTTACAGAAGAGGAAACCGAGACTCAGAGAGGCTAATGTAATTTTCCCAGTGTCATATCAAGGAATCAGAATTGGCATCGGAAGGGACTCCTAAGCAGGTTCTCGGTTTACAAGGCTGGAGGAAATATAAACAGAGGATGAGAAAAGCCTTAACAGTGTTTTAGAGATGGCGTAGGTTCCCACTCCAGAAGACTTGAGCTTCCGAGTTTTAAATATGTTCGAGGGTTGAACATCAAACAACCTCAAACCCAGAAAACTGAAATTTTCATGGGGTGGGGGTGGGGCGTAGGAACAACTGGTTTTGCTGCCAGCGGCTAAGCACAGACCCGCTAGGTTTTATCTCCTGTCGATCACTAACTGCAAGGAAGCAGGGACTGGGTAACCAGCTGGCCCCGCGCCAGGCCAGGCYGGGAGGAGGCGGCGGCTGGGACCGCAGCCAGGAAGCTGGAGGGAGGAGGTTCATCCCAGGGCCTGCAGTCCCGGGTAGCGGAGGGGAGCTGCCTGCGGTGTGGCCCTCCGGCGTCGATGAGCCTGGCAGCGGGGTTGCAGCCCTCCACCCGCCAAGGACGTCGCAGGAGAGGCTAGCAGACCCTGGGGCACCTGTCGCGGGGGTCTGAGGGTGGGGCGCAGCAGGTCCGTCGGCCCTCAGCACGTGCCCCAACCCCGCTCTCTCATTGGCTCCCGCTGCCCCTCTCTCCCAGGCCCAAGAAGGCTGCGACGGGACCGCCCTGCTGATTGGCCCGGGGGCTTCCAAGTGTTGTTCTGATTGGTCGCTGCGGCTCACGCCCTCTCCGCCCACTGGGCCATACCATATAAAGAGGAGGAGCAAACCTCTAGGTTTCAGGACTTCTCTTTCAGATTCCCTGTCCCGCGTTACAGAATGGCCTCGGTCACGCAGCACAGACAGATTTTTATTAGCGGAAGGTAGATCTACCTGGTGGGATCCCGAGCTCGGGCGGAGGACGGTCGGCGCCGGCGGGGCGCCCCCTCCCGCCGAGCTGGTGCGCTCCGGGCGGGGCCGCGCAGTCAGGCCGCCAGGGCTGCCCGTCCSGCGACCAGTCCGCCGCCAGCCAAGATGCTGTCACCGCTGTCTGCACTCCGTCGCGCCCTGCTGGCCCGCCCCTGGAGGGCGGCCGGGTGAGTGAGCACCCGTCCCGGCCGGCCCGGCACGGCGCCTGCTGCCCGGGGTTCCCAGGGTCGCTGGGCGGCTCCTCCGCGCGGGACGCCCACCTTGTGGGACCCTCCAAGTACCCAGCCGGGTACCCAGGGCTGCTTTCTGCCCGAGCTCGCCCCCTCCCGCACCTAGTCCTTCTCCCCACAGGATCCCTCAGTCCCCTCCCGTCGTTCTCAGTGGTCACCTTCCTTTAGCTAAGGGATCCCCTTCCCGACACCTGCACCCGGTGGGGGTGCTCGGTGCTGGCGTCCCAGGCTCAGAGAGTGGCCTCCTTCACTCATTCTCCTCCWCGTGCTAGATATTCAAATTCTCTGGCTTCCCAGCGGGGACCACTTCTATTTTTAGCACACCACGCCCCTCTCCTCCCCACCCTAATCGCACATTCCGGACCCCCTCTGGTCTTCCGGGAGTCCTCTCCACCGGGTTTTCCACCTCTCCTTCTCTCTTCCTCCTACTTTTCCAAGTTAATTGTTAGAAAAGACGGACTCCTTTTCCCTGGTAGGTGGAATGATATTTACGCAGCGCTAGGCATTTGGCGTGTGTCCTACTGTGTTAGGATTAAAAGATTTAATACACGGAAAGTGCCCTGAACCGTGCGGGGCGCGGTCGTCATTATCACTTTTATTTAAACTTCTCACTGCCTTGAGGCATAGGCATTATTATTCCAGAAAATGAAGAAACAGAGGAGCTGTTCCAGGGTGGAGTGCCTCTAAATCCAGATTTGCAAACCTGGGCACTGTGGAGCTGGGTTCCTGGACCATAGGTGCTCAGTGACAAAGGGTCTAAGAACCCTTCCTGCCCCAAGCTGGGGGCGGGAGGAAGCTGGGGCATCCACTGCCCCAGAGGGGCTCATAGGATTCTGGTGGGGCTGACTAGGAACTGTGTCCCCTCTGCCTCGATTTTGAGTTTGGTTTGCCTGGCCCCTAGAGCAGTAGCTGGCCATACCGCCCCCCCCCCCAAGTTCAGCTCTTTCTGAGTTAATCAGTGTCTCTCTCCCTGCCCCCATGGCATAAGTTAGTTTTAACTTCTCTGTGTGTTCTCACAGGAGGGGATAGGGAAGGACACAGAAGAGGACATGGGACACAGAGGCTTCTCTTCCAAACTACGATGGGCCAGCCCCACTTGCCAGAGCCTGGGCATGGTCCCATCTGCAGCCTCTCTGTGCACTCTGAGACCACCCCTCTCAGAACCCAAATGGAAGCCCCAGATAGGTAGGGCCATGCAACAGATGCATGTGCTGAGTCCTGGGCAGATGCTCAGCATACTGCAGGCAGAGAGAGCGGCATTTATGGTGAGTGGGCCTGACGGGTTTTCAGCTCARTGAGGGGGAGAGATGTAGACATAAAGCCCTCTAGTGGAAACCAGTCTGCATTCTAAAGAAAAGCCCATAGTACAATTTGCCAAGCCATGGAGTCCCACAGGCCCAGCGCTGCGCTATCCCCGTCTTACAGATGGGGAGTCGCACCAGTGAGGCAGATGTAGGACCAGAGTCACAGTTGACCTTACTTCACGTTCATGCTCTTAATTACGAGGCCCCTGGAGGTGAGAGGAGAGAGAGTATTTTGCAACAGGTTACACAGGCTCAGGCCACTTCTCTGCCCCACAGCTGTCCTGGCTGGATGCCGGAGAGGGTTTCTCAACCCTGCACCATGAACACTGGAGCCAGGTAATGTCATGGGGACTGCTTTGAGCCCATGGGGTGCCRGGAGCACCCCTAGTCATGACAATGTCTCCAGATGTTGCAGTTTATCACCTGGGGAGCAGAATGGCCCTGGGTTGCCTAGCTCAAGGACAGCTTTGGTGTTTGATCATTTGTTCATTTATTTGACACATACACAGGAGACACCTGTGGTGCGCTGTGTCTGCCTTGATAGAGAAACAATTCTAGGACATTTTTAGTGATAGCTCTCAGTGTCCTAGAAGTTAGACTCTAGTACTAAGAAAATCTGCATTTCAGGGGCTGAGGCTGTAGCTCAGTGGTAAAGTGCTTGCCTCGAATGAGTGAGGCACTGGGTTCAATCCTCAGCACCACATAAATATGAATAAAGGTCCTCTGTGTTCCTCTACAACTAAATAAACATTAAAAAGAAGAAAAAGAAAATCTGTTTTTGAGGAATCAGCAGTGTTTCCCTTGCTGACTTGAATGCTAGGAATTTCAGCATTTTTTTTTGACACTTGTTAGTTTGTTTTCTTTTTTCATTCAGTTAGTATGTGTGTATTATAAAAAGTACARATAGTGCAAAAAAGAATACAAAAATCACATGCAACCTCAACACCCAGAGTAGGTACCATCATCATCTTAATGACGGTCCTTTTTTACTTTCCATGAATGCATACAGTAAAAGCCATAAAAGTGGACTCAGTGCGAGGACAGGTTGATCATCCCAAATCTGAAAATGAGAAATGTCCCCAAATCTGACTGTCTGCACTCTGATGTGACACCAGAAGAGGAAAATTCCTCACCTGACCTCGTGAGACAGGCCGTAGTCAAAA